CATAAACTTTCGTGAGTTAAAACCTCACTTCTAAGAAGTGAGGTTTTAACTCACGAAAGTTTATGCCCAAATAAATCTGTTAGTCTTTCTCCTTGTTGTTTTTGTAGATACAGACTAACACGGCTACCCCCTGATACTTGACACCATGCAAGGCATCTTTTTCATGTATTCAGTTATAATAAGTTTGCAAACTGGGTAGGATCCATTTAGGAGTCATATGTATTTGACATAATGGAGGGAGGTATTACTAGACGTGGAGAGATTTGTGGACAAAAATAGGACAAAAAAGAGAAGACAGATGTAGATGAGGGACAGAAGAGACACAGAGAGTAGTAAGGGTTTGTATAAAAAGGAGCGGGCAAGGAGAGATAGGTTGGCCAGGTGACAAACTAGCTGACTTGGGAATTTGAGGCCAACCAATCAGGAGAGGACAGAAAGGAGGAAAACCTGACTGCTAAGATAAGTAACATAATTCATAGTTCAGTCTTGCCAGGGACATGGCTTGCCTTAAGGAGCATTCCCTGGCAGAGGGGCACAGATGGAGCTTAATATGGATTGCCCAATGGAAAAGTGGCAACCTTAATTGGATCCTTCTAATTCTCAAAACCTCTCCATTTTGTTCAAATGGGAATTCTGCCTAAGTAAACTATTGTAGTTAAGAGTTAGGAATGCAGAGACATTTGAGTTCTTCCGATCCTTTTAGATAAATCTGAAGCGATTCACCAACATTTTTATCTGATTTCCTAGGGAGAACTAATAGCACTATTGAAGCTGTTATGCTAGCACTTGACTGCACACTCACTGGGATATATGACATGCTGTCATCTTCAGAGCAAGTGCAGTCACTACAACAGTGTGAATACATGCGTACCATTGCAAACAATTTTGTCGGTGGATACCTTGTGAATTATATGCGTGCTAGAGAGTTATAATTATACCAGCATAGACAAAATACTCTAAGGTAGATAAGGGTCCAGTGACTTGCCCAGGGTCACACAGGAAGTCTATGGCGGAGCTGGGAATAGAATCCCACTTGCCTGGTGCCCAGTTTTGTAGCTACACAACCTTCCACTACTAAATATATTGTTTTTCTCAGTACAAAATATACGAACAGCTTCTTGAAACTCTATTTCTGTTCTCTCTCCCACACTCTAAAACATTTGGGGAATGGAGAATGACTATGTTTAGTGGACTGATTGAAGCAGTTTGCAAAACAGAAAATATATCTTTTCCAATGAGGCAAAGTGAAGTTTGGAATAAACAACTGAAAATTTCAAACACGATCACTTTCCTATTAAAGGAACATTTAGTAGAATGATGCCATCACAACATGTACAGCTGTTCCTGTAAATAAGTAAATCCATAACCCAAATGAATCCATTTGGGATGTATTACTTCTGTGGTGGCACTGATACACATAGAGTATATTTGGCATGTAGGGATATTAACTTTACAATTCAAGTGAAATATCAAATGTTTAAAAATCAACTACTTTTAATGATTAGCCCAATCAAAGAAGAAATGGAAATTATATGCTAACACCCTCAGCTCCGTGTAAATGTATTAAAGAAGCAAACAAGAATTTCATCTTTACCATGTTACATTTTAGTAGTTGGCTGCTTGAACAATGTCTCTTTGTATCCAAAATTCTTTTAGGCCCACACACACCTATTCAGAAAATATCTTGCTAGAAGTCCCTCTAGAAATCATTGCTGAACAGTAAAAAATATCATCTCTCCTTCAATCGATCATACATATCCATATTGTTTAAAACCTGTCCTTTTCCCCCACCGCAAGCTGCATCCTACACATCATGGACAGCAATTTGGAAAAAGAGACATACAAGTCACCAGTCCACTGAGTTTCCTTAGCACAGAATGGGTAAGAAGATTTTTTTTTTTTTTTTAGACCGTGCTACATTGCATCTTTGTAAAATACCTTGTAGAGACAACTGAAGGATTGATATTGGGTTTTGTTATGCGGTAAATATTTTGAGATGATTGTTTTTAATGTAAAAAATCTGGCTTTAAATCTATTGTTAATTACATCTGGCTGCAGTCCTTAATAGAACAAAGTCCCAATTTAATTCATTTGTGCTCAGTTAAGAACCAAAACATTTAATCTCTGGTATTTTACAAAATGTTTCATTAGTCTGAAATACTGTTAATGAGAACACCTTTAGGGCTCAGTTGTACTTTGTAATATATGGATTTCTGTTTTGTAAGACCAAGCATCTGTGGTAGATGGTTGTATCAGACACTCGTAGCTGCCTGGTTATGTGGTAGAAGGCTGGGCAGACCCTTAGACTCTGATCACACAATTGATGCTTTGCCTAATCCACTGAATTAAGATAATTTGGAATAAATTACTCTTATTCTGGACGAATCATGGGTTTAATCATGAATAACTCACCCTGTAGGTAGGGATAGCTCAGTGGTTTGAGCATTGGCCTGTTAAACCCAGTTCAATCCTTGAGGGGGCCACTTAGTCAAGGTCCCTTCCAGTCCTATGATTCTATGTTTAAATCAACATGCACTCCCTGCCACTGTTATGAAGAAAAGCCTTGTCCTCTGAAACAGACAGGTCAATATCAGCAAATGAGCAGCAGCAAAAGCAGTCTATAATAATCACAGTAACCTTAAGGGATATGTCATGAGGATGTCAATGTGATATGTACATGCACACACACTAAAATCAAGAGTGGGAGGGGTAGCTCAGTGGTTTGAGCATTGGCCTGTTAAACCCAGCATTGTGAGTTCAATCCTTGAGGGGGCCA